AATTTGAAGAAGGAGGAGGAGGAGTGTGAAGAATTTGAGTTCTCTGAAACAACCTTTTGTAGGCGAATTTTGCAGTACAAACCGGGGGGGGAGGGAGCGGTTTTAGGTCTGCCATGCAGCCCCACCCCCTGCATGGCGACATGTTTGATGTCGGGTGACCAGGCACAAACCGCGCCTTGGGGAAGCGGTTTAGTATGCAAAAACCGCCATTGGGGGGCGCGGTTTATGTCTGCACATGATAAACCGCCGCCTGGTGGTGCGGTTTATCAAGCCGAAATTTAAACGCTTCCTCACGAAGCGTTTTGTGGTAGGGTTAATATATAAACCACGCCTTCGAGGAGCGGTTTTACCTGAAATTAAAACCCGCCTATTGACAAGGCGGTTATGAAGGCGTGGTTTATATATTAACCGTCTATTAGAGGCGCGGTTTTTAATAAACGGTGGTATTTTTGGAAATTGTTGGGAATGAGTGGTATATTTGTGATTTTTTTTAAACAGTGGTAGTTTTGGATTTTTTTCCAGAAAAAAGCATACATAAGCACTTTTCAATCAATGACAAGCCAAGAATGGACGTAACCAACCTCATTCAATTGCTCAAATAATTAAAGACCTAAAATTTAATGAATTTTACATACAACCAAAATACCAATCAAAATTATTCATAATAAATCAAATCTTTGAAATCACAAAGAAAATAAACTTCGGCGTTATCTCCCCGCAGTACTTTCATTTATCATATTTAAGTAGACGCAAACATGGTTTGCCTCCCTTGGAGAGCTCTCTCTTTTATGAATTTGAGCTAGGCAAAGAAATAAGTGTTTTAGTCAAATGAACAATGTGGCTCAGAAAGGCCATTCTCCTCTCTAATCGTCAAGTGGAGGTGGTTCGAAGAATTTCATTGGATTGGTGACATAAGCTTTACTGGAAGGCTAGTAGACTCCCACATCCAGATTGTTAATCATCCCTTCGAACTCTCTCTTGCTAGCAAGTGACAATGAGTTTCCCTCTTGATATTCTCGTGCAATAATTCCATCTCCTTCTCATGGTTATTGGAAGATTTTTATTGACTTCTTCCCAATATCTTGAAATTGGAATTATGAGGATTCGCATTTGAATCTTTCAAGGGAGGAGTCCGATGGAACAAAGAACATTTATTCATTATCCACGGGCTCAAATATGTCGATTACATGTTCCACATTATCGATTCTCATAGTGTCCTTCGTGTAGGGATATCGATTAGTGCTATGCGATTCTCATAGTGTCCTTCGTGTAGGGATATCGATTAGTGCTATGATAGATGTGAGGAATGGCCTCCCAAATATAATAGTCTCGTTGCCTGACTCGTTGTCAATGGCTCCATCCTGTAATTGTTTTTAGCCCTAACGAGTTATACACATTGTATGGCATGGACTTGAGGCTAGCTCCAATTTTGATAAGAGCATCGGTCACTTGAAGATTATTGAGGACGCATGAGATAGTGAACTGCTCCTGATCAGGCAACTTTTGTAGCTCTGTGAGGTGCATGTGACGAGGTATGTTCTCCACTGTCAGCTTTTGAGAGGGGGGGTTCTTCCTGGTTTAGAATCTTTTCCAATGCTTGCACATGGTTAGAAAACTCAATGATGGCCTTTATAATTGGTGCAACAACTTCTTCTCCCCCTAGAACTTCTAGAAACTCGTTTAAGACTGCTAGAAATTCATAACTGAATTTTCTTTGGTAAGTGCCAAAATGGCACCTTGTGCGCCAAATTCTAGTGAAATTTGGTCGTTGGATCCACTATTTTCGTAGGAAAAGGAATTGGTACTTCTTCATCTCCATCATGGCTCTGACTTCCTCCTTCTTGGCTATGATAATTTTCATGGTTTCAATAGAGGACAAGGCGGATGAGCAGATCGTGTCTAGCCCAACGTGGAGAGCCATTTGGTAGACCCTATCGCAGAAGCGAACTCGGACTCTCCTACGGTTAGCAGGGAACCAATGATTGCTCACAAACTTGGAGCGAGCACGGAGGCACATAACACCTAATGAAAACTGCCCGTTTTGTGGAGATGGCCATAAACGGTTCTCCATGTGCTCCGTGACTGTATCTTCGCACAAGCAACGTGGGCGGAAGTCCTTGATAACAAGCCAAATGACAAGTTCTTCGTAGGGGAGCCTTTTAATGGATGCTCCATTACATAATGGGGATAAGTGTGGTTGTGGACCCCTCCTTGTTCAGTATACTATTTCGATACCTATGAAAGAATAGGAACACCCATGTGTTCGAAAATCAGTTGATTTGTTATGCTGGTACCAATAGGGATACAATTTTACAAATAGTGAATTTTTTAATTTAAGTATATTTTAAATCAATACATATCCAAATTGTGGAAAAATGAGTCTTAGCAGAGATAAGAATGTCTTATGAATAAAATCAATGGACGTCTGACGAATAGGTTAGCATGATTACTTAACCAGTATGTGGTAATGGCCAAGAAACAACGTTGCATGTGATCCGGGACTGCCCATATGCAAGGGCGCCGCCTACCCAAAGAGAGACGGAAGACTAAGCGCATAGGATTCGAGAAGCACAAGCCCCGGTGAAAGCAATCAAATGAAGACATTTAGTAATTATGGTGGCTATCAAAATCTACACCATTCATTATTTCTATCTTTATATTATTTTTAAATTAACAGTGAAGATTAGATTAAGGGTAATTTTAGAAATAAAAAAATATCACATTTGATTACTCTATATATTATACCCAAACCCTAATCCTACTAAAACTCTCCCTCTCCGCTGTCCCTCTCTTCCCTCCCCGACTTCCTCCGCCTCACACCACCCGCTACCTACTGTCGCCCTACTCCCCACCCGCTACTTCCCGCCGCCCCACCCAACCTTCCCTCTGCCGCCATCCTCCCCTCCCTCTTGTCATCCTCTTCCCCACCCCACCCTGCCTTCCCTCCTTTCCCTCACATGATATTCTCTCTCTCTAGGAGCACATGAGAAGCTCTAATATGAAATTTTATTGTTTTGGTACTGGTTTTCTTTGTTTCATTTTATGAAATGGTATAATTTTGTTTTTCATAATGATATTGATTTATTTCTGCAATGGTATTGTCTGATTTTTATAATGGATGGTATTGATTATCATGTAATGGTATTAATTTGAATATTTTGGTTTTGATTAAATCTACAATGGTATTGGTGTTTTGTAAAATGATAGTATTTATTTCTCGAATGATATTGGTGTTTTGTGCAATGGTAGTGCTTTTCGAAGAGGTAGTGGTTGTTTAATGTATTGATATTGATTTCTTGTTTTTTGTTATAATGATATTGGTGTTTTTCGAAGTGGTAGTGATTGCCTAATGGATTGATAGTGATTTTATTTTTGGAAAAAAATTGAGAAAAATAAGGAAAGGAGATCTGGCTGAAGATTACGGAAGTGAGAGAAAATAGATAATTATAATTAATAAATTTTTGTAACTGCCCAAAATGTAATTTATTAAAAAAATTAATTAATACAAATTGTTTTTCTATACCCAATTTACCCTTAGTAACCATGGTGATTACTACTTTGTAGTAGTCACCGTAACTTGTCCTGGACGTCTTAGCTGGTGGAGTAACAGAGAGTCATAGAATTAGAGAGGTTTCCAAATACGGTAACCTGGGAAGATAAAACGTGTTTCCCTATTTGTAACAAGTAGCAATATCTTGAGGAAGAGGACCGACTTTGAAAGTCAATGTAACTTCCTTTGGACGTGAAAATACCATACACATATGCACCTTCCTAGTTCCTTCCTTCCCCTCGCCCTCTTTTACTTTCGGTTTGATTGTTGAATAGTGGAGTTCTCGTCGCTAAAAAAAGTTGTAAATTTGGGGTGTATTAAAAATCACGTTGTAACTTTCTAAAAACTTACAATTTTACATTTTGGAAGGCATGACTTTTGGGGTTCTAATTATTTAATATTTTGAGAATTTAATTGAATCAATATTTTCAATGGGTGGAAATTGTAATGTTTGAAACTTCAACTTTGGTTGATCTCAAATTTTAAGACCTTTTCTCTTGGCCAAATCCCAAAACAATATGATCATACTACTAACTATCTGTTAACCGCCAAACAAAATCAGTTAATAAAATCGAATCACTAATTAATTATCGATTATCGACTAACTAACTAACAATTTACCAGCCCTAATCATACTGAAGTGCGGCCAACTGACCATTTCGCAGATCAAAGCTCAGGCCGGCGAAATTGGGAGAAGGGCAAGTAGCATAGTGATCTGGGCTTTTGCAACAAAGTCCCAAATGATGGTGGACCATTCATTTGGCAAACTGGAATTTCTCTATCGTTTGGGCTGAACATCCACCCATCATGTTATTTTAATGTATTTGAGAGTGCAACATTTTTCCGATCAGGTTGGAATCTGGATGATAAGAAAATGCCTCATTTTTAGTTTAACCATGTTCATCCAAGTATGTACTAAAAATTAAGCATTTGTAAGCTAGTATGACAAAAATTAATGTTCATGCATCGGAATGATGAGATTACAAAAGTTTAGAGGTCATATTGACCTTCTATACTTCGATTTTGTGGGCGACGAATAACAATCCTCATTCTCATTCGCCTACCAAGATGCTGCTTAACACAACAATGGTTTCCTTTCTCCTTTCTCAGGAAACCCTCCAGTTCTGCTGCTGAAAAATAAAAAATGTCAGTCGCTAAACACAAAATTTACAGTTGGAGTGTTTGCATATTGTACAAGCTACCCATACATTAAAGAATAGCAAACTCAATTCTACGTTTGCGTACAAGTCAGCAGCGGCGCTGTTCCAACCTCTTCTTGCTTTCTATAGCCAACCGCTGAGGAACATATGAAGCACTCAATCTGTGTATTGTTGTTGTCCCTGTTATATATACGCACCCGAGGTCGGGAGGGTTTCAAAATCGATCTCCATCATCATGCATACAGTATGGACAGATTGAGGTTTCGATGAATCGTATCATGAATGAGAAGTTAATTCCCATCTATGGAATTCTGCTTGGACAGTTCTATCCCGTATGACGAAGACCTAGAGGCAAAAACTCCACCATGTGAAGCAAGGTAAACGATGAATGATAGGTATGCAACTGTTCCACCGCATGCCAGAAGCCCAAACAGCAAGCCCTTTACTTCAGATGCAAAGAAATCAATCATTAGATACCCATTGATCAACATCACCACTAGAGCTACCGTCCATGCCATCCTCTGCAAGTTTCCAAAACAAGTAATTAGGGTTCTTCCGATAGTCATTCATGCATTGTGGAATATCTGTAACTTAAGGGGCCATGTAATTTTGTGTGGATAGATTGAAGATGCGTGGATACACGAGACTGATACACAGGGGTTTTCATCCCAGATTCATACAAGAAGAACAGTGCATCGTCAGTAACCATTTATTCTCAGGTTCACAAAAAGAATCCTTGCTTAAGGAATGACCCCTAAAATGAAACATGAATATTTGATTGATTGAATCCACATATATTCTATTATCGAAAGCGAAATGGCTACAACTATGCGCAAATAAGATAAATGATACATATGCAAGTGATAGATCAGCCAAGCATTGAAGAGAGGAGCTTACCTCTATAACTGGGCCAACTTTGGAGACTCCCATGACCTGCTCTTTAGCAACCAAGGTAAGAAGAGGGATAAGAGCAAAAAGCACATTCAACCATTCATTCAAGACATCTAAAGAGGCTTCTGATTTATTGAACACCAGAGCAACTATTATGGTAGGTACAATCGCAAAGCTTCTTGTTATCAGCGCCCTTAGCCATTTCTTCAAATGAGGGTTAAGGAAGCCTCCCATTATAAACTGGCCGGCATATGTGCCAGTTATTGTACTGCTTTGTCCAGCCGCCAATAACCCAATACCCCAAATGTAAAGAATTGGGAAAACTCCACCACCATACTTCTCTTGAAGATACTGCCCAGCATTCACCAGCCCTATGTTGTTGGCCTGTTTGGTGCCATAGAATCCCTTGGCGAATAAAGTTGTGGCAAACAGATTGATCACGAAAGATACCAGAAGAGCAATTGACGATTCAATGCCTCCCGAACTTTGCCTGTCTTCTTAGGATCAATCTTCCTTGACTGAACCGAGGCATTATCACACAACCCACAACTCCAACAACTTGCTAATGGTCTTCGAACTAAGCATCGGTATCAAAAGACCTACAGTAACAAAATTATTACCAAAATCAAATCACTCCACCACAAACTTCTGAACGGATCAAGAGAAAGAAGGCTAAGACTCTTATTTACCAAGAAGAAGTTCTTTCCCATTCGGTTTAGCATCTCCGAACATCCAAGCAAATGATGAAGCCATGGTAGCAATCAGAATTGAAAATACAGCCTCGAGCTTTCTAACTCCATAATTCTCTAGAAATAAGAACATAAAACTGGGTAAAAGAAGAATCAAGGTAAAGCGAAGTTAAGAAGCAATTCATTGGTTACCCTTTTTCAGTTTGAAGCTAAGCATTTAATTCACTAAAATTTTGAAAGGGGAGGGAAAATCAAACCCGTACCAATCTGAAGCAGTGATCAAAACTCCAGCCCAGAGAGGCAGAACCCCACGGCTCAAAATCTGAATAGCTATGGCACTACCTATAACCCCCTGAATATCGGCGCCAATCAGGGCCACCTCCGCCATGAACCAGAGTATCAACCTAGCCCAATTAGGGTACTCGTCATGGCAGAGCTCCTCCAGGTGCCGCCCGGTGGCGACACCGACCCAAACTGATAGAAGCTGGATGAGCAGGCCCATGGCGGTGGCCCACATCAGCAGCCACAGAAGCGAGTAGCCGGCGATCGCACCTGCCTGAAGATCCCCTTCTAGATTCCCCGGATCTAGAAATGCTATGCTCATCAAAAACCCTGGCCCTGTGAACAGCCAGAGTTTCTTCCATGAGAATGGCGGGACGTAATCCAACGGGAGGCCGTCGACCGATCCGGGGATTTTCTCCATATCTACAATAGCGATTTTCTCCCACGCCTCGAACGCGGCCTCCTCGGATTCTTCCCCATCCGATGAAGGAGAGGCTGAAGGTAGCAGCCGGTTGGATTCACCATCTTCCTTGGAGTCATCCTGCCGCGGCGTCATTGTAATTATCGCTTTTTCCAGGATTCTAGCTTCTTGAATTCCTTATTTGTTCTTCCGCCGACAAATTGGACATTCCGGCGGAAGAGGCGTGGTGGAGCTCAATTCTTGTGGCAGCGGCGAAGAGATCTCCTCCCCGGCTCTTCCTTGTTCTTCTTCTATCTCTCCCTCCCTCAGTTCTTATAAATCAATCTCTTCGCACCTCTATACTCTATAGTCCGTCTAGCGTCTAGTGCAGTTATCTCCGTTATTTCATTTATTTATTTTATATTTATTTGTTTGTTTGTTTTTTCTTTATCTTTCTTTCCATGGGGTAAGAAATTCTCTCGCATCATTTGTATATATGTTTCGTTTTCGCACCTGTTAGGAACCTACACGTCACTGTCTGTTTGGTTAATGGGCTGCCGTTTTATCAGTTTGTTGCCTTCACTCTCAGATTTCCATTACACTATGTTTTTGAAGGAAGGGAGGAAAAGGAAGGGAGGTGAAGGAAAATTAGGAGGAGAGGAGAGATTTGGAGGTGAAGGAAATTGGGAGGAAAATATTGTTTTATGGAGGAAAGTCGAAAGAAAAATGTGTATTGGGAATTGTGATGGATATGTTATTTTATTAAGAATATAATAGTGAAATAATTTGAGTATATGTTGATATTATTTTTATTGCTTATGAATTGTGAATTAAATTTGTAGTTTCTTGCTTATGAATGTGTGATGTAAAATAACGTTATGCATGATGTAAAATGATTTTGTGTTACGTTTATGATTAAACAGTATTGTATTTAGTCTCCTCATTTTTATTTAATTATTACTATTAGACTTTAATTAACTTATAAATTGCTGGCGGAATTTAAATTTGATTTTCATTATCATGTTAATTACTATAGGATTAAATCACCAAGTTTAACGTGAAACGAAGAGAGAAAGAAAGTGGGAGAGAGAAAGAAAGAAAGACAAAAGTGAGAAAGTTGTAGAAATAGATAAAGCAAAAGAAGAAACAAATGAGAAAAAGGAGCATCGTCACTTTCTCTCCGATTTGGAGGGTTGCCTTCCACATTATATTTTATGTCCGCTTTCTTCCCTTCCATATTGTTTCAGTTCTTAAAAAACGGAGGAAAGCTCCTAGGGAGCTGTGCTTTCCTCTATTCTTTTTCCCTCCCTCCCATTTCCTTCATTCCCGAACACAGTGTAAGAGTAAGTGGGGGGAAAAGAAAACAAGGGGATGCATAACATCGACCATTCTTTCTTGGCACAATTTGGGTCAGGCGATGGCAACAAAATCGACGGGTACCCGACCCGACCCAACTCGGTCAACGCGGGTAAAATTCGTCTTGATGGATTTTGGGTCGGGGTTTAAATCCGTTTACTATTCATCGGGTTGGGTTTAGGTAAACCCGTCCCGTGGTTACCTGTCCACACCCATATAATTAATTTTTCGGTATATTTAATATTCTAAACAACTAATCTTCTTTATGTTTGTGGAGACATGTCTAATTTTTTCTTTCTAATTGTAAAGAATGAAGTTGATATTATCGAGTGGAGAGTCAAAAGGCTTAATTGACAAGGAGAAATGAGTTTTCAATTAATCATGTTGTTTATGAATAATTTGTGATTTGCTTCAATTTTCTTGAGTTTTCTAGATTGGTGTTGAACAATTTGTATGGTTAATTTGTGATTTGCTTGAATTTTCTAGAATGGTGTTTTATATGTGGATAATTTGTATTGAGAGATTGATATTTGACTATTATTTTGATAGGAACTTGTTATTGTAAAGTTCTTACGACAAAAACCCATGGGTACTCATCAACCCGCGGATACTCGGCGGGTTGGGTTGGGTTTGAGTTTTTCAAACCCAGTGGGTTTCACCCCGGGTTGTTTTCACGGATAAACCCCATGGGTTTGGATTTGGGTTTGGCAAAACTCGACCCAACCCGACCCATTGCCATCCCTAGTCACAAACTAGCTCCTAACTCTTTGTCGTTTGCAAACGCTCTATTGAATTAACTGTGACGATGTCTTGCTGGCTAAGCTATGATGTACTCATACATTAACATGCCATCATATTCGGCAAAGTTAATAATATACGGGAACAGATCAGTTCAGTAACCTTAGGCTTAAGGTGAGTAACCTTTTTAGATCATCTCCATCCCAGAAATTGATTAGCAATTTCTAAATTGGTCCTTACAGCCACATAAGCAACTTTAGCAATTACATCATTCAACAATTTCTAGCCATCTCCATCCCTATAATCCTTTAGCAATTTCTATTGGTGGGACCTACAAAATATCCATATGATTTATTATTTTCTTAATAATATTTTGCATAGTTAATAATAGATAATGTATAATGTATTTGACAATTTTATGTTCAAGCAAACATTAGTGTTTAGTAAATTGTATTATAAAATAATAAATAATATATGAACATTTACATATTGTTCAATTATAGATATGAACCTTCTTTGGAGGAAACTATAGAGCATTTATTTTTCTGGTGCCCGGTGGCAGTAAGGATGTGGGAAATGGCAGGGTTACGGGATGACTTGTTGCTTGGTCAAGAGCAAGCATTCTCTATCTTCTTCCGGCGTTTCTTGGAGCGGGATTCTTCTCCGGCGCGCGTAGTTCGTCTTGTTTGTCTTCTCTGGCGGATTTGGAAGTCGAGGAATTTGGTGGCATTTGAGGGACAGCAAGACAATTTCGCTGTGCTGGAAAGGCAGTTCAGATTTCAGGTTCAAGAATGGATTGATAGTTTACCACCGGTTGGTGGGAGGATAGCTGCCTCAGCAGTGCAGGTGGGGGTGCCGGGAAGGGTGCCGGGTGTGTACAGGTGTGCCTTTGATGGGGCGATTTCTACGGGGTCGCATGGCTCCGTTGGGATTGTCCTGCAGGATGAGGCTGGAGGGATTCTAATGGCACGGGGCTTGGGTATTGCTGGTATGGTGGATCCGATGTTGGTGGAGGCGATGGCTCTTAGAGATGCGCTGTGCTGGTGTGCAGAGGCTGGCCTCTCGGCGGTTCAGTTTGTTGGTGATGCGAAGGTGGTGATCGACAAAGTGAACGCAGGGTCCAGTCGGGATGCGAAGGGTGGAGCTATCTTCCAGGAAATCTGTCGGTTGCTGGGTGCTAATGCGGGGTTTCGGGTAATGTTTGTAGGTAGACAAAACAATAGGGTGGCCCACTTGGTGGCCAAAAAAGCCCTCGATTTGTTTCCTGCGGGAAGTATTGGTTTTGATTTTCGAGCGTGGTTGTGCTCGGAAATTGGTTTGATGTAACTTTTTTGTCTTGGTAATGCAAGTATCTTTTCGACAAAAAAAAAGAAGATATGAACCTTCTTTTTCTTTCGTATTTGGATGAAAAATGTCATACATAATTTATATTTATAAAATATATTTCATAATTACTTTTTTAATCGTGTTATTAATTTTATATATGAATGTTTATATGTCTAATCAAAAAAATTATAAATATAAAGCACAACTACACCATTTTTATAGAAAAAGATGACAAGAAAAGAAATAAAAGAAAAATGAAGTGGGTCTCATATGTACATGTGGTATTGCCAAGGGACTTGCCAATTTAGCAATAAGCACTCCATCCCTAGCAATTGCCACCCATGTGCTACCTCAGCCTCCACATCACCTTAGCAATTTCTAAACTTTAGCAATGGAGATGGTTTTACATTAGCATGACATCGGCATCTCTCTCTCATGGAAAGTCTTTTATCTTTTCCCTTTTAATTTTTAACAGATGATTTCTCTATCGTTTTAAGTTGGAATTTAAATTTTTTTGCACAAATAAATCAAACTAATTGTGCTCTTTAAAATGATATTACTTTGATATATTTTTAGAACAAAAAAAAATTGAGGCATTTTTTACCAGTCAATACCATATGATATTAAATAGGAGCATATCATATGATAAAAAAGCGTACCATAATGGTATGAACATACCAAGAATGCAGGAAGGTTGAATACACGATAGTAGGAGTATACTAACTGTCATTTACGACTTTCATCATTGTTTACCACAAGTTACCACCCTCATACCAGAGTGGTAAAGTATGGTAATTTTTGGTCGTGTATTTTTTTCACCCAAAAATTTGTAAATCCAATAGAGCATGATGAACTCGTTCCTTCTGTGCAAATATTTTCTAAAACGACTTAAAAACGAAGAAGTAACCACATGGTGTGGAGTTAGTAATAGGAAGTATGAAAAAAAAATCTCAAAAAATATTAAAAATTGGCCTCATTTTGTAGAGCACAACGAACTCGTTCCATCTGCGCATAAAAAAATTTGAAATCCAAGTTAAAACAAATAAGATAAGGGCCGATTAAGAAAACTAGAAAAAATAAAATGTCTTTAATTCACAACTCTTATATCTGGATTTTCTGAGCTCACTTAGTTCTAAAAGCCCATATTTAGTTACTCATAGGTCAGTACCAATGGTTACTGACTGTATCTTCAGCCATAATATAGGGCATTCTTTTATAATCAGATTTAGACCCTTAGATTTGTGTGTGGTTAGAAAAGTCAAGATCTAATTAATGATTTTTTTTTTATTTTGCCTAGTTTATCTATCAAATGAGATCCATTTTCAATATTTGTTGGCAAAAGAAATTTCATACCACTCAACTCACTCGTAACCCCCTGGTACCACCTTCATTTTTTAACGTGAATTTTGAAAATGATTACTTAAATGGAACGAGTTCAACGTGATTTATTCGATCTACAAATTTCTGAAAAACAATACAGGATCAAAATGTATGACTCCATACCACTCTGGTATAGGGGTGGCAACAGGTGCTAGGCAATGATGAATGTGGTAAATGATAGTTCTAAACTGCATTTCATATTTTCAAGTTAAGCCATGAGATTTTCATATTAAATAAGTATAAACACCCCACCGGAAAATTTGTATACTCGTACACGTGATCAATATTGCATTGCAACATTCACTATGAACCAAACAACCAGATCATAGTAAAGAGCAGAATTGAGAGGATCTATG